ATCTGTACTCATGCAGGGCTCGTCAAAACTCTTCAGACAGTACTTCACACAGCAACCAAGCCAACACTTCGAACATGGAAGTCACGCCAGAGCGAATATGCAATGGCCCAGAAACCCGCCAGAATCCGTCGAGACGGGGCCGCAATTCAGCTGGAAACCACCAACTGCACTTCTGGGTCCGGGGCAACAGTCTCCTTGGTGTGTCCCGAGCAAGGGTTCCCACACTCGTTGTTGTGGCCGGGGTACCTGGCGACCAAACGCTCCATGCTGGCTGCAAGATTGCGCAAATGGCTGAAGCCTCCCCTTGCCTCGTGCGCTCACAAAGTCCAGAGCAGCCGCCGACACTGACCCACTCGGTCCACGGGTGGAACCTCGAATGGGATGGCGGGCTGCACAGAGTTCTGGAGCCTGGAGGTTCGGGACCCCAAATCCGACAGACGACTATGACAGCACAGACCCTCCTGCCTGATACTCCGAAGTTCCCCAAACAGGAAACGGATGCGAAGCTCTGAATCTCCAGCCGAACTTCAAGCATCTCTGAGCCGCCGGCACGCAGTCGATCGGGTAGCATTCGTGGCAGTCGGGGAGATTCGGGCCTTCGCTGCACTGGGCGAACAACATTGGATGCGAACAGAGCGCCCAAGGCAACAGAAGGCCCCATTCATTGCGGACTGCTGGCAGGCACAGATACCAGCTACCCGGCTACCCGTTCTCTGGTGCAGCTCCGGTTTAGCAGGTTTCAGTTGGCAAGCCCAGAACTCGCGGAGTTCCACGAACCTTGACAGAGGGAAAAACGGCCGGCATGAGGCTCGCACATTTTCGCCACGTTTGCTCTAGCCCGTGGCAAGATCTCGGCTCTCGAGCTTTGGAGGTGAACGGTGGAGTGCCAGGATGCTAGCTTTTAATCACCAAGAGCTGTCAAGTACACTGACAGTACAGTCTTCAGATGCTTTGCCAAAACAACAAACCTTGTACCTTGCACGATGATCATTGCCAATAACTGATGATGGAGAACGAGCACGATTGATGAGAGGAACAACTCGAGTCTCATTTCTCCATGACGACAGTTTGAAGGCTTCAGGACTCTACCGATGGTATCGAGACCGGGAGAATCTGAAACAGACTTCATCGCACAGACCACGATCCCTAATTACTGTGAAATGAAACCATGAAAATGGCGACAGATTAAGACCTGTTGGCCTCTGCTTCAAGCCTTTTTCACACCGCCCTGCGTAATAGAGTGTAATTAGATTATTTCTGCCATGACAAAACATGTCTCTGAGTCCCTGAAGCATTCTGAATAGCCGGCATCCCCCCCGACAGGAAGGCCAAAGAAGAAATCGTGCTCGGGCAGGGGGTGTCAACCGAGGTCCGTGCTGCACGAGGGGATACACCACCGAGTTAGGCCTGAGGGCTCCGAACCGCGCTGGTCGGATCTGATATGGTTGCAGCAATGCTTCCAGCAACAGGAACATGTTCCATGCTCTTACACCACCTGACGAATCCCCAGCTGCGTGAAACTTCAAAATCTGCCGGCCCCCTGACGAACCCAATCCATGGCCCAGCAGTCAGACAGATGAGAGAGCTTTGACGGAGCCTGCAGATGCTACTCTGCATCACAGTGCAAGGGGAAAAGGAGGAGGAAGGCACGAACGAGAGGCACTCGACTCGCCAGCCCAGGCCCGGGCTTCAGATCACAGCACTCGCTCGTGTCGCACACCTGGAGGAAGGGCAGGGCAGCAGCGCAGAGCCATGTCCCGGTGAAGTCTCCCAGGCATCCCGAGGAGCCTCCGTGACGCAGGACATGCCAAGCGCTCCCGGCTTGATGGTGTAGCCTGGAGCCCAGGTCGACGCACAGGGCCGGAGAGTGGGCTTCGTTATGGCTTTCCTCTGGCCGGGCTCTGGTGTCACTTGTCTCTACTATTTGGAGTGCCCAACCGCTACCAAAGCCCTCGGCTTTGCAAAGTTCGCTTCCAAGGCATCTTCCCAGCTATTTCTGAAGCCTCGAATAAGAACTCCGACTTCTGGAGAAGCGAGATATGACCCCAAATCCTGCGCACCGCGCTCCCCTGGCCCCCCCGAAACTTCTTGCCTTCAGGGCAAACATCGTCGTAGCACTTCGCCGACGGAATCGCCATCGAGTTGCAAAACCTTGCCCGCGACACGGTTGACTCGCTGTGGGCGCATCGCTCCACGGCTTACCCAGTGGCTCTGTCGAAGACCTCTTGATCCAGGGCCCTTGCGAGCCGGAGAAGTAGAAGAGGTGCCCGAAGCCTCTCACCTGTGAGACGGTTGAGGTCTCGAGACTCGTGCCTCACTTTCGCCAGGGATATTAGAGGGCAGGCGGACTCGGAAGCTTGAGGCAGGGGAACTTCGGGCGAATGCAGCTTGCTGACGGTCGAAAGCTTGCGGAAGCTCGCCCCGCGCGATACGTGAGCTGGAGATCGGCCACACCCCGAATCCTGGACTTGAACCTGGTGTCAAAAGGAGCTGCAAAACGCGAGGACACCGGAAGGACGAGCTGCATTTTAGGAGGCCTAAGACGCATCTCACCCGCTCCCATAACGAACCCGATGAAAGCTCAGCGTTCCAGCTCCCTTTGCGTCTTTTCGAACTAACCCTGATGCAATAAGGAGTCGTCTTGTAAAGGGCGCAGCGCGTGTGGAAGTAGTAGAAAGAACTAGGAACCTTGCAACAACCGTCACGGTCTTGTTGGCACTTGGCAGCCCGACTCCAGGCGCTGAAAGGGTCACCCGGATCTCCGAGGCCTCTTCCAAAGAGCTTTGGGAAGAAGGATGTTTCCCTAAACCCGCCCTGCTCTAGTCCCGGATGCAGCTCAAGCTGCCTCTAGCTGCCTGTAGCTGAGGAGCCCAGGCTCTGGAGTCTCGAGGTTTGGGGCGCTTCGGATGTTAAAGGCTTTGGATTTCTGTCAGGTCGAGCATTAGAATCGACATCATGGAATCCATAGGCTGCGCCCTGCCCTCCATCCGCCAGCCTGGGTGTAGTAGAACGTGAGTTTGCACTCCTCACTCCCGAGGGGCCCAGTGCCTCGGCCATCAGCGCCGCAGAAAATGCCCGGAGACTGAAGGCCCCTCCCTGCTTCCAAGAGTTGCCGGTGAATGCCAAAAAAGATGAGTGCCGCGTCACCATCGAAATGTCAACACCCGGGTGTTGACCTGAGTCCTCTTGGAAATGGTCATCTTCGTCATTCACATCAACACATGCTGACTGTCCACCACATCCCACTAGCAAGCTTACCATGAACTGTAGCCTTATCGAATCAGGTGGTGCCATTGTCGCCCACAACACAACCTGCTCACAAACTGAACCCAACTGGAAAGGTTCACTGTTCACTGTGAAAGCCAGAGACAGGGCTTCGGGTTCCTGCTGCACTGGTCTGTAGCAAGAGTCATTGCTCAGGATGTGTTGGAAGCTCTGCTGTACCGGGATGTACTATCAATGTCATCCCGTCAAGATTTGGCTCAGAAGGCTTTCAGCGGCTATGTGTCTCTTGAAGGCACCTCGCTCCTGCACTTTTCCAACTGCTCCCGAAATGGGTTGCTCGGCCGTGTCGCAGGCGTTGCGCCATTGCTTGGCAACTGCAGAGCTTCGCAGATTTCAGGCATCGAACGTGAATGCTCACATAGGCCCTCACCAGGCTTTCTGGCCCTAGATCTGCGTATTCAAACGGCAAAATATGATCAAGATCCACTTGAGACTACCACGCACAGCACTGACCCAGTTCGACAGATTGTAGAAGCCTTACAGAATACACGGGGGACCAATTAATGGCAGGTGGAACAGCTTTCGAAAACGAACCCTTGAAACCAGCGTGCAAAGACGGTGCGGAATTGAGAGTGTCTGGAACTCATACCGGTAGTCTGGAAGCTCCAAACGCAGCCCGCTCATGCTCCGGGCATGATGAAACCCGCAAAAGGCCCGGTGTGCCAGGGATCAGGTGCCTAATTCGACTCACAGAATCGCAACGCTTCGATTCGTCGCTAAGAAACAGTCTTGTTCTGCTGCACTTGGACCATCGTGGTCGTCTTCCCAGGGTTTGTCCTTTCTCCTTGCTCGTCCCCCTCGTCCTCCTGGTTCTCCTCTTCCCAAGCAAACCAACAATCTACCGCAAACCGGCAACTTTGATTAAGGATGTGCTGCTGGAACCTGGTACGTTCATGAACCGATTTCTCAAAATCGCCGATCGAATTCTCATCCGTTGGTTTGACATCGTTTTTGCACCGTCCGGCAAACTTTGTAACCAATAGAGTACAACACAACAATTTGCTCCGGAACGCAAGTCTCTGCAAGCTCTGTTGACTTCGGTACTACAACAACTCGTGGGTTTGAAGGCACACCGGGTCAATCCGGGGTGCGACGACCGAGGGTCGCGAGGGCAAGCTTCTGAAGCTCCACCCTAAATCCTAAGCCGCTGGACTGGCCCCAAGCCCTTTGAAGCCCCCGACCCAAGACTGCTGAGACTGCTGTTCTTCGACACGGCCAAGCTGACGGAGCTGTTGCTTAAGCTTCGGTGGGGCCAAGGAGAGTCCATTGAGTCCGCGCGCTTGCGAGCTATAGTTCATCTCTGACCACGACCCGCGCTTCGCGCGGAAGCAGGCTAAACGCGACTACGCTGTAGCAGGGGGTGCTCAGCACATTTGATCCGCATATGGGCTTCGAAGAGGGGTGGACTTTTGGAAGCGTGCTGCATCAGTCCACGGGATGCAATGCAAGAACTGAGGATCCTAGACCGTTAGTTTCGGGCCTTGAGCACACCTTCCTGCTCTGAATTGGACGATGCGTTCGCATCAGTTCCACCAAAGTTTGTCCGAGTCACCTCATTGCGGTGACCGAGGTCCCCAACTTGAGTCGTGCGGTGATAGGAGGGCTTGCACACGGACCCTGAAAGGAGGACTCCCTATCTATGACATCCTTCGGCTTACAAACGTAGCATTAAGAGGTCCAAGCCCTAAGCCTTGCGTTCAGCTTCGAGGCTCAATTCATGAAACCCCAAATCTGAATAGTTTCCGATGGATGAATGCAGCCATGCCGCAGGCAATGTAGCTGACCTTGTGACGGAATGGCACCCGGGTTCAGAGAGGTAGCTTGAGCTCTAGGTGTTGAGGATACATGTCGCACGGCCTCTGCTCTTTCAAGCAGCGGTGCCCCGTATACCGGAATCTATGAGAAGAAGCGTGCCTCAAGACCAAGACCGTCTCAACCCCGCGCAATCGTGCTCAAGAAGCCCCTGCATGCCCCAGAACGCCCCCGGCCCCAGCTGCTGCTGCCAGGAGTCTGGGCTGAGGCTGGCCGACAACACCAGTTCGAAGCCAGCTGCACACTCGTCGTCCGGGCAGCGGAGGCAGTGCCACTCCTGCCGGGGTCCGCATGGGCGAAGAGAGCTCCGACGATCCCGGGTGCCTGGTCTCCGAAGTAGGTGTAGGAGTACGCCTGAACAGAAAGAAGCAGACTCAGACATGACAATGACAGCACCTCATCTTCTGAGCATGAACGCCCGGCCTGACGAGCCCAGCACCAGGGCACCCCGTCATCCCAAAGGGATGAAGGCGCCCACAAACTGATCCTGCGAAGCTGTGACTTGAGTTCGAGGTTTTGTCTTCGAAGATGGACACAGATTTCTGACGGGACGGGGGGTGCGGAACGCTCTGGACCTTGATGTCTTTGGGGGCTTAGGTTTGGCGGATCGCGCATAGAGCTTGTGCCAGAGCGGCTATAGGGCACAGGCCCTCGACGGTACATGTCAGAGGCCGTGCTCCAAGCGGCATACCTCCGCTTTTCGATGTCGGCTGCTTCGTTTCTGTGGCACTTCCGATTCTCCTCCTGCTGCATCCGCATCTTTCTCAGCAGTAGGTTTTGTTTTCGTGCTGTTGTGTCCTCTCGCTGGCATCATCATCGTCTACATGTCCTGATCCTGGAGCTAAACTCTGGATCGGCCCAGTCCCATCCATGTCGGGTCTCCTCGTCGCCGTGCCAGTGCGTTTTCAGGTGAGGATTTCCTCTTCTACGCCACTTCTCCCACCGCCCCACTGCCAGCAACACGCCCGCTGCCTTCACCGGATTTGAAGATTGCGGTAGACCGTCCACGGATCTCCACTTTTTCTGCTGTTGGCTTGAAGCTCTACTTCATGCTCGACCCTCGCCGGTCCTGTAGAAGCAGAAGCCTAAACATCCGAGGCCAATGAGCAACATGACCACCTTGGCAGCTAAAGCTTAGGGAACAACAGTCGACATGAACTCGCGGTGGTAAATGAGAGACCCCAAAAGCCGCAAACCCCGTCAAGAGCAGAAGTGCCAAAATATCCACTGAATCTATTTCGCCTCAAGCCTGTTACTTGACCCGCAACCCCACCACAGCCAACTCCACGTTCGATCGAAGTCATTTGAGAAAACGAGGCTTAAGACTTCAGGTTCGCACGCGAGCTCCTTGAGAGAAGGGGAGTCTCAATGAGGCCTGGGGGATTGGAGTTGGCAGGGATCCTGTGAAAAGGCGAAACCCATGGCCCATGGCATGGCCTTGAGCACTTGCTCGCACTTTGTGACCTTCTTGTTGCGCACAAACCAAACGCCGAAGATGAGGCCTGGCTGGGGATTCTTCGACACTTCCCATGTAGCATCTTGCAAAAGCTCGGAAACTGGAACATCGAAGTCAGGTGCGTTTTCGCGTGAACCATAGAGCCCTCGCAGCGCCTGAGAGGTAGCCTCCGAAGTGGGCCGCATGACCAGTCACGTCGTCTGGCTTCGCCAGCATGCCAGCCCCCACATCCAAGACGATCCTCTGCAAAGTCTCGGGCTTCTTGGAGATTATTGCTTTCTTGGGTCCGTTTGGGTGTAGAGTCTAGAGGACCGCCGGCAAGATGTGCTGAGACAGTCTGGAATCCCAGACCGGAGGGAGAAGGGGCTAAAAGAACAGCGATCTCTGTCGTTGTTCATAGGATTGGTAGGAGCCAGAATATAAAGAGAACTTTGGGACCTTGAAAGCCTTGACTCAGCAACTCTGGCAGCCCAGGCACATCACAATCAGCAGCAACACACGAGGGAAGCGCCACCTCGACGAGGCCCACTCCCCACCATTAAACAAGAGAGTCCCGCCTAGATCAAAGCTGAACACTTCCAATGCCGCTATCGCTGGAGTCTTTGCGGATGGTGGGGCACAGTAGTTATTTTTTTGGCCCGAAAGGTAGGGGAGTAAGGGCGGGCTCTCACAAGACTGATGGTGCGGCTTGAAGCGGTGCGGTCAACTCTCAGGCTCCAGTCAAAACACGAATCTCATCTTAGGAAGCACGGTAGAGACCACGGAGCCCGTTGACACCCTGAAATCTAACCCCCTTGTTGCTGCCCCAGGGGCTTGTGCTGGCTCCAGTTCATCACTACGTCTGCCATATGCATGGCCTCGGCTGGAGCCGCTTCATTCCCTTCAGTCTCTGGTTTCGGTGTGGGTTCTGCCGTCGGCTTTACACAAATTCGAATCCAGCTGAGGTTTGGCGTGACCCGCCGGATGCCTTGGTCTCATCCTCCGCATTACATTTAGCTTGGTGTCGTTGTTCGCCCAGCTCTGGGGTTTTTGTGAAGGCTCTCCTTCTGGGTTGCCTTCAGTTCGATGATCGATATTCTGATTCTCCGGCTGCACCTATGCTGCCCATCCGCTGTCGGATGATGGAACCAGTCTTATGTACACTTCGCGACTGCATAGCTGGGTTGAGAATGCTTGGATCTCCGCCTTGTGCAGCGGCACGCAGCTGATGACCCATCACATGCTGCGTGTCACCCTGCTGCGAGGCTACACGTGCCACGTCAAGAGTCGGAACGTCCCACATGAAGCCCTCGCACATTCAATCCTGCTGATCAGCACCCTGTCAAACTAAATGCTCCTGCAGTAAAAAGCTGTTAAACGTCACAGCTGCACATCTCGCATCTCGCATATCTTAACGGCACAGTCCAAGAGCTCCGAGTCCTCACACCACCGCCCAAAGCCTTGCAACCGTCTCCCAGCCACAACCACCCCTAGGCCCGACAAGTAGGCGCTAGACTCCAAGACCCGACTCAAGAACCGAAAGAAACACATCCCCAACTCCTCTTCGAAGGAAGAGGTTGGAAACCCTCGCGGCCCTGCATCACATCACGAACTCGAGGCCGAGGCCATCAGTGCATAGCAGCCGGCCGACATGCCCACCAAGCTCGAGTCGTGAGGCCTGAGACTGGGCTTTCTTCGGCTCCATCCCCAGAGGTGGCTTCGGAGCTCCCGGCTGCTACGAGGCTCCTGCCCTAACCGGCCCGAACCGTTCATAAGGCATCATAAGGCCTAGGGCCTAGGTTAGGCTAAGCTCCAAAAAGCCACACCGTTCACAACTCCCAAAGCTGCGAAAGTCATCCAAGCCCGGGTCTGGCCCCTAGTACCCGCAAAAAGACAATCGAACGGTGCCTACTGCCCGGTGCCCTCTCGAGGAGTGTGGAACCCTGCTGCAGCGTCCAAGAGCACTTGAGCCACGAGTTTCGAGTTCCGAAAAAGCATCAGTACATTGAAGTCAATCAACAGCCCGAACTTCTGAAATGCAAGGGTGCTCGAATCGAATCGAAAACTCAACCCTCTATCCTCGAGCGCTGCCGAGGATAGAAAGAAATTCAGACCGTTCAACCTTCAACCCATAACCCGTTCAAGCTGCGAACCCTGCAGCCCGGCCTGAAGGTCATGTGCCACAATGCGCCACAGATCACGCTGGCCTCGCAAGGCTTGTTACTGTAGATTCTGGGTCTCAGGGTGGGCACAAACTTGTCTCAGCTCGGCAGCTACATGTAAGCAAGCGTGTGTCCTCAACAAGCACAGCTTTCAAATTACAGCCAGGTCACATCATAACTTTCATCGCAGAACCCAACGACGGTCTCTTACTGAAAAACTCTGCACCTGGATCAAACGATCCACCAGCTTGCCCTAAGAGCCCATCCCCTGACCGTAGATCAATCGAAACATGGAGATTATTCCCGTGTTCTCTGGAGGGGTACCGAAGCGGACCACACAATGCAGGGAGAGAAAACGAATTCAAAAAAGCCCGTCAGCACTGGTGCAAAGAAGCCTTGCAAACCAATGCAGCCAAGAATTGAATCTCACCCAACCTTCTTCACTCCCCTCTGTCCCGCAAACACCCACGATCTAACCTCGAAGATAAACGCCGTGCGCTTCCAGCCGTGGAGTCCTGGCAGCAAGGGCTCCAACTAACTTATGTTAGGGGTTTGGGCGTCGCAGAGGCCAGAACAGCGAAAATGTCGCAAAAAGTCGGAAGAAGTTGAACAAAAGCTGGAACTCATTTCTCGTTTGTTCGACTGTCAAAAGCTGCCCGCACTCATGGTGGTCGAACAGAACGGCCGGGAAAAGCTGCGAAGAAGTCAGAGGGGACATGGAAGAAGCACATCGTCTGGGGTTTGGATCGGTTGCACCCTGCCCATAAGAAAATCTCGGACTGCGGCATGCGAACGGCACACCTGTCATCCCCAGAACCTTAAATCTTTGTAACAAGAGTGGTTCTGAAGGCGGAAAAACTGCGAAACTGCGCAATCTAGAAGAACACCAAAATAATACTCCAAACTGTCGATGCCTGCGGCGATAAAGCTCTACATGCTAGAGCCCCCTTCCGGCGGTCCTTCTAGCGGGATCCCGGCAAAAACAGTCACCAGGGTGTTCATTGCAATGTGTGTGAAGTGGCCGTGCGTCCACTGGTATGTCAACCTTGGCACTCGCATGCAAGCACAAAAAGGCGCTATAGCTTCAGGCTAGCTGCAGTCCGCTGTCAGATCCAAATCCTATCCTTGCACTGATATGAGCCTCTTCGACAATCAGATCAAGTGGCCAACGCCAGCCCTGCCATCGCAAGTCCTCCCACGTATTTGGGGAATCGCCTACTGGGACATGCCCCGTATTCATAGTACCATGCTAATGTTGATTCTCCACTCAGGACTTGGTAGGGCATTCAGTGGGCACTCCAGACAGGGTTGGCACTACCCATACAGTGCAATTGCTGTCAGCGCATTGCCATATGGACAAACTATCCTCGGCTCAACGCACGCGCTCTTTCTGCCCTATGAGACAACACGAACATGCTACCCCGCCTCCGGACAAAATGCCACCTCGAATAAAAACTCTAGGGCCCAACAGCCCAAACCTCGTCCCAAGCACTGATTTGCAAAGTCCAATCCCACCATCCTTGCTCTCGTACTCCGAAGTCTCCCCCCCCCCCCCCCCCCCCCNNCAGACTCCGGTCCTCGCAATCCTTCGCGCAGTTTTGCAAAAGGCGGACAAAATTATTGGTGTGGGGGCGATCTATCGCCGAGAGGCTTTGGGCTCAGAGTCTCTGGCGCTTCAGCGCGCAAAAGCTTACGATTTCAGGCTTAGGGTTCAGCACTCTCCGAAGATGCCTTTCTTAGGTTGGAGGTGCGGCTCGTGAATGTCTGGCGAGTCCGTGGGGACGCTCAAGTGGATGTGTGTTCAGGTGTTGGAGGTTGCAATCTTGCAAACTCTACACTCACGCTCAGACACCACCAATGGGTTCCAGCCAGCTCGGCTCATTGATCCGGTCATCCCTAAATAGGGCCTACCTAAACCGCATCCGGCTACCATCGATATCGGCCTGAGTCTAATTACACCCCATCGGTTTACGATGACCCCCATGCGCACGACCGATGGCAGTTTTTTTTTTTTGCAAGCGCAGGG